AGGGTGTCCGGCGGGGCCACGTAGGGGTCACGCCCGAAAGTGCCATAAACAGCCCGGGAACTACCCGGCAGGGCCCCTTTTTTCAATTGGGACCGAAGCATAAGACGGTGGGGCTGTCTTTGTTACTAGACACGACCATGATAGTCCGATCTTTATGTGAATGCAATGATTGTGTGTGTGTAAATAAAATGAACTTCGAACTTGAAGCACAGTATCTTTACACGCCCTGGGAGCAGTAATGGATTTAGCTCTTTGTATGTTTTATGCTTGTGACGCGCCCTCATTGTATTAACCGTTGCCTAATTATAATGTCTGCACAGTAGGTCTGGCGTTGACGCTTGGGATTTTGTTGAAATATATAAAACTTCACGGAGGATTGTCACCTATGGCTTCTTGTTTTATTTTATTTTATTTTATTCACATGGATTTTTGAGCATTGGATAGGAAGCACTTGTTGTGCTTATGTAAATCCGCTGCTCATAAAACATAATACAAATGTAAACATAAAGATGACATAAAGTATAGCATTAACATAAAATGAAAGTGGCTGGCGCACCAATACCTAGCATAACATTATTGAGATTGGTCAAATCTTCCAGAGTGGTGGATACAGTTAAACACAATATCAAAGATACGGCAGTTGGTAGGGTATGGGAGGGAGGGGCTACCTGTAAGAAGTAAAGTACATAATGTGGCGTCATTTACGTTGAGTGGGTCGGAAGGAAGTATGTTTTCAAGATGAAGGCAAGATATGGATAACAACATTTTGGTCCTTTCAGTATTATAACATTTGCAGTGTATTATAAATAGTGTTCTGGTGTCTCATTTGGATGCCCACATTTGCAATCGGGACTACTGATACAGTGATGCTGGAATAGGTGGTAGTTCAGCTGGCTGAAACCAAGCCTGAGTCTGGTACGGTGAGTCACATGGTGTCCGTGGCCGTGAGAGTAGTGAGGATGTCTGGGCATGCTAAATGTTCACATTCTTACGGCCATTTCCTGTAACCATCATCCAAAGCGGAGTTTACAAATAAAGATTCCCTTCAGACTGTATGGCTCTGTCAAACAGTCTGCTTCTAGCCATTTTTTCATGTTATACTCCACTTCGAAGCACTAACTGACAAGTGCTAAGTATAGTATTTACAAGAAGACCTTCCTTGCCAGAAATTTGCTCCTTGCCAGTACTGTGCGTTGTTTCTAAATAAACAGAGTTTGGCCGTCTTGTTGGGCATTCTTTACTGTCAATTTTCTTCAAAAGACAAGAGACTGTAACGTGTCAAAAGGAGAGCTAAATAAATACATCACATAAAGAACGACAAAACGCTTAAAAGTCCATCACATCAGATGCATTCGCATCCAGACCACACAAGGACTGTTATTATAACAGTGATCCTTAGTAAACACTCATGTTCCTTGGCACAGTCAGTTGTCAGTCAGATACGGCTTCCAAATGTTACTAAGTGCCGAAGTCTGATTTTGCTGGAGATAACCGCGGAGTAGACATAATAAGACGTATGTAACTGACAACTCATTCTGCCGAAGGAAGTACACAGGGTTACATTTACACGCAATATAGACCTTTTAAAGGGGGCCCGCATGCCCTTTTCCGAAGAGCGTAATCGGCCGTTTTAATTCTACGTAGAGCGTACACGGACCACTCTAATTGAACGTAGAGCGTAATTGACACATTTTGCGTAGAGCGTAATTCGAGTTTTAATTCTACGTAATGCGTTGTAGCCACTTGCTTTTTTTTGTTGTTTATTGCAAAGCATAATCGCTACTGTGGCGCAATACGTAGTCGGCTCTCAAGAGCCAATTTACTTTAGCCTAAAATTTAGCGTAGAGCGTTGTCGGAACTCCCCATGCAGGCCCTCTTAAAGATGTCATGCGAAACCGTTGGATATTTCAGAACGCGGATCCTGCACCAAGCGCTATGACGTGACTGGGTGTTCACCTGAAGAACCACGCAGGAGAAGGTAAATACGCATCTGTGTCAGTTATTATCAATATCGTACACATGTCACTTCTAGAGAGACGTTCCATGTACTTATGTCATGTCCAGACACATTTTCTGTATATATAGGTCAATACATTTATAATGCCATGCAAAAAAGACATCTTAGAATAGCTGTATAAGTAGAGTCACTGAATTTTTTATCAACTACATGTATATAGTATAGCGTTTCGTAGCATTTGTATGTAGAATCTTAACATTCCTGGCAAGTAACTTAGTATACACTGTTTAGTAGCCATAGAACATGTTTAGTATAATTAGGTACAACTGCTCACTGTACCCTTCATGTGTATAGTCTAGCGTAATGTAGAATGTACATGTAGAGTCGAAATATTCTCTAGCCAGTAGCTATTTATAATACTCTGTCAGATACAATGTCCGTTGACCATATATATAGCATTATGTTAGACACATACCAACTAGTAATCTTATTATTTGCCATACATTGTACCCGTGACAATCGTTGTGCAATAAACTTTGACTTGACTTGACTTGTCAGAGACACCGTAACTGTTGTAACCCCATGTACTTTAGGATTTATAAGGTTTAGCAGGGATATTACAGTAACTAAAGAACTTAGGGCTAAGGGCTCAAGGCAGCTACAGTTGCCAAAGGTTCAACTGGAGTACAGAAAGCGAGCTTTCTCGTACTCTGGCGTGATTCTTTGGAACAATCTGAAATCGGTCAGTACACTCTTACGCTTCAAACAAATATACAAACAAGACTGCATGCCTGCCAATTGTACATTGATATGCAAATTCATCCTTTCACTTTTTATTTATTTGATTTCTGTATGATTTATTCGATATTATTTGATAAATGCCTATTTTGGACCGCTCATTATTCTGTTACTTAAGTTTATGCTTAAGTTACCTTATTTCAATTTGCCCCTTGATTGTACATAAGTTTCTTCAGCGATTACTTTATGTTGTATCGTTATTATTTTATTGTGTTTGGGGACTGCCCCCAGGGTGCATTAAAACCACCCTACGGGGCGATATGTTTCTCCGGTTAAATAAACAAATAAACTAACAAACAAACTTAATGCAGAAGTCATCGTATCTATACGACATGGCTGAATTAACGTTTAGATAACTGTAACGCTTACATTAACTTAGTAGACGCGTGTATACCTGCTGGTTGTCATTTGTAACTGAAATATATGTATTTTTCTAGGTAAAACAAACAACAATGAAGATCCCAACACTGTTCCTGGTCGCCATACTGGTCATTGCAGTGGGTATGTACTAAATTCGCCATTTCTACTGTTAATAAAACATTGTTATAAGTAACTACTGAACACAAATTAACTTCATTACAGTAAAGAAAATGCTACACACATATCAGATACGAGATTATTTGTTGTTAATCAAATTGTATTTGTTGTTAATCACAGTATTGTTTCTGAGTGAAAACTAATTAACAATTTGACGACAGAAGCTGCGAATTCCTTGGTAGCAAAAACAGCACATTTTACTCAATCTAGCTCCTCATAAAATAACCGTTCCGATCACACATTTGTGCAACAGTAAAGCATTCCAAATGACCTTTTCCTAACAAAAACACGTTTGTCATGTACTTTATACCTATGTAATAATTTTAGATTCTATATTCACATCGTTTCCAAATGTAGATACATAGAATAGCATTTACCACTGTGACAACAAATGCGTTTTACCCAAAGGCAGTAAAGCATCCATTATACAGTGGATGTTTAACTTTCTTAAACTTCCAAGTTGGTATAAGTAAAGGTATACGTAACTGTTTTACACTTAATCCTAGAAATGCATGTTGTAAGCGTTGCTTGAATAAGCTTCCAAACTGGCTGGCATTGTCGCCTGGGTTTAGCCAGACATTCTCAGCACAATATGTTCTGTATGTGGACTGTCCAGTCATGGTCTTGTTTGACAGCGGTAACGTATGCCTTCTTTACAATTCTGTCATCGAATAGACTTGGTTGTGTAAAAAGAGTCTCTTTACTCACTGCCCTTAGCCACGGTTATGATGAGCAGGTTGTGTCTATAAATCAGAGGTTAGGGTAGTTTCCTTCGTCCTGTAGGTGAAGAACTATTATCCTTTTTGCATTTTGTGGCCGCAAAGAAAAAGTTCTTATCTTTTTCACTAAATCTAGATTGAATTTTAAGAGGTCTTTTCTGAGTGTGTATGAGTTTGAGTGGCTTCAAGTTAGGTTCTTTCTTGTCTTTTCTTCATGATGTCTATGAGCGATGTATGATAAGCGTGTAACATAGCAATGTTTTGAAGCTTTCGTTCAATGGATGCCACATTTTGGTCAGTCTTTTGACAGTCCACAACTATCTATTACTGCTAGCTTAGCCAGCTTGTATCTGGCTCTTGTACTTGCGCAAGAATGTGAGTTTTTGTTTTTTTTTCTGCATGCACCGTTGTACGACTCGGGTTTTTCATCATAGGCCTAAAAGTTCCCTTCTTGGTATAAGGTGTTCCATGGACTCCATGGTTGATTTACAAGGACTATTTTGTGCGAGTTAAAAGTACCCGCAGACATTCCAGCAATTAGATACTAATATTCCTTTCTATAATGATTTAGGATCCCAACACATGGCCAAAAAGTCTGCTGATGACCACAAAAGGTCAAAAAGGGCAGTTCCCGCATTTCTAGTAGCGGCAGCGAAAGAAATAGGAGGAAAGGTCGTGAGCAAGCTTGGCGACAGGATCGCGAACGGTGTAGTGGAGAACCACCAGGAGAAGGTGGTGAGCGGTCTGCAGAGTTACCTGGGGAAACAGATGGACAAGTTCGACGATGAGTACAAAGACCTGCTGAAGGACACCAGTGGGCTGGCAGCGGGTTTGAACCGACCGGTGGAGGAGGTTGGATATTTTTAAGGCGCGATCACATTTCCCAACCCGGGGCCCGGCCAGCAGTCGTATGGAACGAAAATCATAAGACAGAAAACACACAAAAAAGTTTAGGAAGTTAACCATGAGAACTACGTATTAATAGAGATTGTTTATTTTTCGTTCAGGCAAACAACCCGGCCGGGCCCCGGCTTGGGACCGTGCCCTTATGGGTGTACCGTCCTCTCATAACATTATATTTGACAACAAGATGACATCTATAAAGACAGCATTAAGAAGAGGCTTCATCTAACTCAAACGTTCTAATTCTGTAAAATTGAGGGCATAAATAATTGAAATTTCTAATTCAGTACCACAAAAATTGCAAATACCCAAGGTGTACATTATACTGATACAAATAAGGTTCAGAGATGATGACTCAGATCATTCCTAACGATCTTTTCTTTCAAACATTTGTGTACTAGGCGGACATTCAACTTGTCAATGGACGAGGAGCCATGATGGGGAACATGTATGCACCTCCAAGCTGGGAGATACGTCATAAGTACAAGTACAAGGATGACAGGTTGGTGAACAAATTTCGTAATGAATAAATTTTTTAAATGATTTTAAAAAGTAAATTGCGAGAACTGTGGGGTCGTGTGGCGTAGCGGCAGAGTGCTCGACTCGGAACCAAGAGGTCCCGGGTTCGAGTCCTAAATGCCACCGATCTTGTGCCCTTGGGAAAGGCACTTCACGTCTTTCCTCACATAACTCAAGTGAACATGAGTATTGATTGTCCTGTCCTGTATTTGCACTCTGCGTTGGTGGCGACATAAAGTAGGTTGATATAACTTGAGTGTGCCGTCGCCATGTCTGGTCATAAAATGATGACTAGCAGCACAGCTTCTATTTGGTTATCGCCGTGTGGTGCTTTAGAAACATCGAATACCGGATTCTAACGCTAAAATGTATGTTGTTGCATTTTTGTTTGGGACACCACATTTTGGCAAATTTTCGTATTGAAAGGCGCCTTTTTTGGGTCGGTATGACACAAATAAACGAAATACACCATTGTGTATTCCGATACTTCGGTTGATACAGAATACAACATACAACATGTACGTATCATATTTTTAAGTGTCTAATGATGATCCGTCTTTAGTGGATATGACAAAATGTTATGATTGATTTTGTTAATTAGCAGCGATGAAGACAAAGACAGTTCCGGCGGAGAGGCCGCAGCCTTCACCTACCCAGCCGGACTAGGACCAGTTCTGATGAACGGCTGCTTCGGGACAGGCTATAAGAATGGAGACCCCTGCTACAAGGCCAAGATACCACGGACAGGATGTCCGGTAAGGCACCCATTCCACTTAGCGGTGCTCTCACCGCGATCTCTCTGCGACTTGAAATTGGTCGGAGCGCGGAGACAGCGCCGTGAGAGCGCCGAGGTCGCCATATTTTGTATCCAGATTAATGTTGGGACCGTTCTGCGATCTCACGTCGCTCTCACGTCGTTCTCACGGCGCTCTCACGGCGCTCTCACGGCGCTCTCACGGCGCTCTCACGTCGCTCTCACGGCGCTCTCACGTCGCCCTCACGTCGCCCTCACGTCGCTCTCACGGCGCTCTCACGGCGCTCTCACGTCGCTCTCACAGCGCTCTCACGTCGCCCTCACGTCGCTCTCGCGTCGCTCTCACGGCGCTCTCACGTCGCTCTCACGGCGCTCTCACGTCGCTCTCACGGCGCTCTCTCGGCGCTCTCACGTCGCTCTCTCGGCGCTCTCACGTCGCTCTCACGTCGCCCTCACGGCGCTCTCACGTCGCCCTCACGGCGCTCTCACGTCGCCCTCACGGCGCCCTCACGGCGTTCTCACGGCGCTCTCACGGCGCTCTCACGTCGCCCTCACGGCGCTCTCTCTGCTCTTTGCGCACATTCTGGAAGATAGCGTCCAAATCTTTATTTTTTAGTGGTTTGATGACAAAATTATCATGAAAGTTCATCTGTGTTTAGTAGTTACATGTTAAAAGTTAAAACTTTTATTCAAACGAAAAAAAGACAAAATTACGCGAACAAACAAAGAAACGAACAAAGTTACAATTTGGCTTTTTTTTATCCGATACATCAATATCTGGTCGTTTCTCTATATAGCTCTCTATAACTTTAAATTATGCAATGTACAGAACCTGATTGACGGTGCAACCTACCTCGGCGTCGGTTTCGACGGAAGGGGTGTGTACTCGGCTGAATCAAGGAAGAAAAGTGTCATCCAGAGATCATGCCAAAATCTGCAGACGTAAGACATATCTTATTTTCGACGTGATTATTTCATGACTCAATTCCCGTATTTTGAATAGATAAAGGCCATGGTTTGCTAAAAGTATGTACAAAAAGTAAAAACGAACCAATTCTTACTCCATCGTGCTCCACCTAAAGCTGAGGTCACATTTCCAAACCGGGGCCAATATATAAAAGACAACAAATCACAAAAAAGTTGTAAAATATAACAATGGGAACTATTTGCGTATGTTATTGATTTTTCCTTACTTAAAACATCCCGGCCGGGTGCCGTTTTGGAAATGTGACCTCAGCATAAATACATTTATTCTACACCAATTGGGCTTCTAGTAATTTTAACAACTTTTCAATAATTGTTCAAGTCATTTCTTTTTTAATTTTGAACAGATACGGTAAAAACGAAGTGCCTGACTCTATGACCGTGCAAGGCATATACGACACAGATGTAGAATCCTACACCTTCAGCTCAACGGAAGAATACAGACAGTACCTTGCGGAGAAATCGGCCGTGACCTCTGCCAGGGCTATGTTCCAGGAAGAGGTCAACAAGGCTTCTGGATACGCAGGAGGTGGTGGACCGTTTGGACTCATTGCCTCGGGAGGGAGAGGATACTCCAGTCAGAGTGGCACGTCCAGCCAATTATCAAGCTTCAGTGCCAGCTCTTCTGCCAGCGGTCAGCTTAGTGAGAAGCAGACACAAACATTCATGGCCATGCTGGAGATAAACATTTTCAGGTAATAAACACACTTTTCGAAGAGCTCAATTTTTTTTATTCACCAAAACATCAAAACATAACAAGGACAGTACGTGTGTGACGCTGCACTCAAGTTTATAACTTATATTAACAGGGCCACACAACAACAAAAAGCACAATTAGCATTTAAAAACTCTAAGTTGACATATCTGTGCGCCGTAGTCCCACCACCCCAAGACATTAAAAATGCTAATAATGCTAACAAAGTTATTTGAAAAGTAAGATTACGTGTTAACCTCCTTTATCTCATTGGCTCAAATTAACCCTGTCTAAACACGATATTTACATGGTGCGTTGACAATAGGGTGCAGCCATGCTATGAGCAACAACAAATATAGTCAGATGACGTTGCCCAATCCAAAATACCCATTTTAGTTTGCTCAAGACGCCATAACCTTACCAGTGGTTATTAATTTCCTCCAAACACCAGAACGTTATTTTAGAAAAGCATATGGCAGGCTGTTACACATGTATCCTTGTGTTTCTTTACTCCTAGGTATGAGATCTTCATGGACGACGTGACACCGGGACAGTTAAACGTGGGCTTCCTACGAGACTTCATTTCGCTACCAGAGTCCTACTTCTCTTCCGGGGCAGAACTTATATTTCGTAAGAAGTCAAATATTTTTTCTTTCTTTTGAACATAACTGATTACTCAATGTCCGCCCATATAAAGCTGAGGTCACATTTCCAAACCGGGGCCCGGCCGGGCAGCTTTTGGGAACGAAAAGTACGATATAAAAGTCAACAAAACACAGAAACGTTTTCGATGATGATTATGGGCACTATATTTATATACTCTTCATATGGATTGTTAATTTTTCGTTCATACAGACAGCCCGGTCCGGCCCCGGTTTGGAAATGTGACCTAAGCATAAAGGGACTGTAATCATGGGTTCACCAACACAACGTAGTGGTCTGGTGAAGACGCATTGGTTTCCCTCGTGTTTCTTCTTCTTCTCCTTCCCCTCCTCCTCCTGTCATTTCGTTATGGTAACTTGATTCAATTTCCTCCTTTTTGGGCCAAGTTACTAAATCCAAATGACCTAAAATTCGGCATGGGGATACTATGGACATATAATGACGTTTTTACTTTAGACCTATACCATATTAAGATTGTTTAACCCTATCTAGACCGGGCTTTTTTGGGCTTGGTGGGACCGGGGGGGGGGCTCATTCGGCCCCCCCCTCAGAACTCGAGAACGGTATATCGTAGGACCACCAAATTTTCAGAGGATGGTGTAATAGTAAAAATTTATCATACGTACAATTTTTATGTCGTTGTGACGTAATATGACGTCATTATGACCTCATTATGACGTCATTATATGACGTCATTATGACGTCATTAATGTGATTTTATTGGCCAAAACCGTCTAGATAGGTTATTCCCTGAAAACTAAACAGTATACGACATAACTTTACCAAAAGTGTTTATGACAGAATATTAGGATGTACTAAGTCTTATGTTGCCCATAGCAACACCGGTGACGTCATAAAATGACGTCATGCATATATTACATATCCGCCATCTTGGATCATCAATCTTGAATTTTGAAAAATAGTTTTTTTTTTCAGGATGAAGCCTAAAATACATTGTAAACAGACTAAAGACATTCATATGAACCTTTTTTGTAAAAAAAAATGGGAGTATTGATGAAATTTTAAGGAAAATAAGCTGCATTTACCTGATCTAATGATATGGTCCGCCATCTTGGATTTTGGCCAATGACGTCATCAAATTAGCATAAATTATGCATTTTTAATGATAAAATTTACATATAATTATATGTGATGTTATTAATGTTAGAAACAATGTGTAACTTGACATAAAACCCATAAAATTCTGTTGTTTAAATGGAAATAATTAAATTTGGCAAAAAAATGCCTGTCAGAAACCCGTTGCCATGGCAACAAGAAAAATCATAACCTTATTCCACTGATACAGATTTGTTGCCAACAATATTTTAGGAAAAGTCACCAAGTTTGGCGGTTCTAGCTTCAGCCGTTCAGACGCTAGGTGACATCAAAGTTGCCGCGGGCACTTTAAGCCCCCCCCCCGGTCTGGATAGGGTTAAAATATGGCTTTTGGCTATTTTCAGACAAAAATGTACATTTTTTGCTCAATTGCTAGTATTAAATCCGAATGAACTGCAAATTGGTATGGCATTACGTTGGACGCATGTCCAAATACTGGCACCCACGCTTTTGACATACATTACTTAAGATTGTGTAAAATAGGGCTTCTTGGCTATTTGTGGACCAAAAAAATACCTTTTTGACTCTAGAGCCCAAATATTTAATTATGAACCAAATGAACCGAAATTTTGTATGGCAGATCATTTGATACAGCACAGGTATTTCCTCTTTTATTAGACAAAATTAAAAGCTGTTGGACACTGTCTATAACATGACATGTTATATCTTTCTGCAATTTCAGAAAATTTCTACCTCCGCTGGGGAACACATTACATCAAGTCAGCCAAATTTGGAGGCCAACTGAAGATCATTAAAACAAAACAAGCTACACAGGACCTGTCGATGTCTGAATTCGCCACTAGAGCCGAGGCGGACTGGAAGATGACCCTCAGCACCTTCTCAGCGCAGGCGTCACAGACCAAGTCCAGTAGCTGGTTTCACGATCAAGATTCAAAGACTGAATCAAAACAGTCTTCTGGACAGGCCGCCTCTGGTTCCGAATCACAGGCCAACAGACAGGAAGAGACGCAAGCGTAAGTCTGTTCATGGGGAAGCCAAATATTGACATGGCTTCAACTTTTTTCATTTGCAAACGTAGATACAATGCAAATGTATAATTCAACGGTATTTTGAAAAGAGACACTTCATTATAATTTTACGGAAGAATTTTGTTGTTTTTTGTGCTGTATAGTGTTGAGTTTTATTTTGCATGTGCTATCGATACACAATTTAGCTAATGTTATCGTCGTTTTACTCCTAATGTCCAGATCGGCCCAGGAGTACAGTAACGAGGTACTGGTGGTTCAAGGCGGAGATCAGCAGATCGCCGCTGCCATCACGGAGATGTACACGACAGCCCTAACAACAGAGCTGAAGGACTGGTTAGAGTCCATTGACGACTACCCCAAACCCTTCTCCTTCGTGTTGAGGCTGGTTTCAGATCTACTGAACATCCCCTTCGACTCGCTCTTCCCTGCAGGAGAGAAAGATTACGGGTGTTTAGGTAGCAAGTAAGTTTACTTTTTTGAGCCTGTTGATATCAGGTTTTTGTGAGATATCATGGTGGTAAAATTTGTGCTCAAAAATTGCAATCTTCTTTCGAACGGAAACATGCTCGATGTCTCGTAGTCTGAACCGAACGCGCATTCTTTGTTTTTAATTTCAGGATTTGAATTCTCTTTTGCGTTGGAACACACAAGAATAACCTTTACAGAAACCGTTTTATAGACAGGACATGCCACAATTATATTGTAAATTTGTTGTAAATATGTAACGTACGTCGAAGGTACTGCCGCCATCTTGGGTGACCACGAAGATGGCGATTCTTGTTTACACTGGTATTAATACCAGGTCCCCCTCTCCGAGCGGCATGTCATGCGTACAAACATGGTGTTTTAACAACTATCAAAATCTTTTAAAGTGCATCGTTTAGGGATTTTTGGAAGAGAAATGATTTTGAAAAAGCGTTAACCATAGCATCTAGCTGCCGTGTATCGAAAATAATTTATGAAGCTTGTCATGATGATGGGTAGAAGGGGAAGCTATTGTTATGATAGGGCAACGGTTAAATTTACATGTAGATTGATATATAAAATAAAAAGTGGTCATGCAAATGTGATCAGTAGCTTAAGGTATGAAATATATAACAGCTGATGAAAAGGGAAATTTAACATTTTAATTTGCTTATTATATAATATCAATAAAACCACATTGTACACCGCGACCAGATTAGAACAGTGTGTTATTGGTTACATTTTAGGAACCTAAAAATAGAAAAGAAAACAGGCCGGAAGTACTACATACAAGAGACAGCAGAACCTGCTGATGGCGACAAGGGGACTAAGAATGGAACTGAAACGGTAGCTGTCAGTGAGATCCGTTATTGCAATTTTGAAAATCGTAAAACCCTCGAGGACAGCATGACCAAGAGGAGAATGGCGCTTCAACGTGCTGTTACAGTGTACCTGGAAGAGGTAAGGAAAATTGTAGTAAACATAACACTGCATTTAGCTAATACAGAAGATTCATTTTGATTATTTATAGTGTTTAGTTGTGAACCTTGAGTACCACGCTCAAGGATTTTACTGCTGTATTGTGTTTTTATTTTTTAATTTACTTTCAGGTTTAAGTCTATCAAAAGACACATGTACACCCACTTCTCTACACGTGTTTACGTTCATGTAGGGCCGTCTCCTGAGTTCAGACTTCCTCCTGCCAGCTGGAGAGGCAGGCTGTGAAACCGCCATGTTGGCGTTCCTCCAGGGAGACAACACCGGCGTGCCCACATGGGAAGACATGATCGGAGGGAAGGAGTTCACGGTCGTCTTTGACATGCCCTACGACATTTTAGGGATTCTTCAGGCTCAAGACGTGGTGACACTCAAGTTCTTTCGTTACAAATGGTTTTCGTCAAGAAAAGGGTTTGTTCCGCATCTGTATGATGGCTACAAAAACGGGAAAAGCAACGACGTCAAGGAGAAAAAGGTAAACGAATTAAAGATTAGAAACTATATGTTTATGTTTCCATGAATAATTTCATCAGGTTGGAAAACGAATGAATAGCAAATTTCTTTGATCGCAACCATTTATTTTTCACGAGCCGACGTTTCGGTGACCGTCAGTCATCTTCATCAGGGCAATTCTGGTTTATAAATTACTGGTTTGCTGTCCACTGTCACTAGATGTTACTTGGTGCATAGTGCACTAAAGGTGTTACATGGTTCACAGTGCCAGTGCACAGTAAACCAGTCAGAATTGCCCTGATGAAGATGACAGACGGTCACCGAAACGTCGGCTCGTGAAAAATAAATAGTTGTGATCAAAGAAAGAACTTTTCTATTCATTATATATTTTTGTTGTCCCCAAAACCATTCTTTTGAGGAAACTCTCTGGTTTTTCCAAAACTTTTTTTTTCGAATTTAATTTTTTTTATGACCATCCTGCAGGTCAGCGTTCAGGGTCTTGTCATGACGTATAATGAGGGAACAGGTGTCTTCACGGTGAAAGATGACGACTTTAAGGAATCAGCCTTACTTCTTAAAGACTTACCAGACTGGGTCAACGGTCGTGACGTCGCCAGAGCAGAGTACAAAAAATTACTCAACCATTTGAGCGAGAAAATGTGAGTAAATTCACAACATTATTATCATCAGCAAGATGGGATATCTCAAAATTAAAAAGAAAAGAATGCTTTACTTTAAGAGTGTAATAATCATCATCTTCATCGGTCTGCTGCAGTGTATCTTTTATCTAGTGTTGGTCAATAGTATGAATAGGATGCCGAAAGCTAAATGCATTATTACTGCTAAAGTCTCCCAACCGACTTATTATTCAAAGAATCGGGCGATCCATCTCCCACTGTGACTGCCTCCTGAGAAGAAGTCAATCCTCCTAATAACTTGGCTAGAATAGTATAGTTGTAATAGAATAGAATATCAGTTACCATGTCGCCTATTTACGTGAATCATATCCACTCTTAACCATGTATACCAACGTTATCTTAGTTTTAAAGTATATAGTAAGTTATATAAGCAGACCGTATAAGTAAAACTCCATGTTAGCATAATTATGGTCTTAAATTCACCACATTCTTTATTCATTGTTTTTGTCAATTAATGTTTGCAATTAGCCCTCGGGCACGAACTTGCAATATGATAACTCATTTATAAATTTCTTGGTTGTTGTTTTGCAGTGACACAGTTGGAGACGTGCCGTGTTCCATCCATTGGTCCAACGCACATCGCTTTGATCCGACCGATGGAGGAAAGTGCATCCACTTCACTGCAGCATCAGAGGGCGACATCTTTGTCGTGTTTGCCAGCATCCCGCAGAACCATGAGACCTGGATATACATACAGATCTCACCTGAGGGAGTTGCATTATATAAGGTAAGCACGCTTTCTTATTCTGACTTTTTATGTACCCTAAATCCGTAAGGATTTTGCTCAAATACACAATATTTTTACGCAATGAAGGTTAGAACTTCAAAATTCACGACATTCCCAAATGTAATTTCAGGTATGTATGTACGGGATATAAACATCAAAATAGGCATTAGACGAATACAATTGTGTTTATAGTATGAACTAACAATTGTGTTTATAGTATGAACTAACAAAAGTGTCATGGGACTAAATGTAAATTCCATTCACGTACATGTATAGGCAATGCGGCTACAAACCACCCAGCTGAATGACAACGCCGGCGGTCTGGGTTCGGCAACCCTGTACCAGTCGTACTTTGTCTGTGTGACTGAAGATGTGGACAAGAAGACAACGGCCGTTCAATACGGCAAGACGCCTGACAATGAGGTGTGTATATATACAGATCAGTTATGCATATTGCCGTCCTATCTTCCTATGCTATATGGAATACACGTCACGAGCCGAGTTGGGACTCGGACACCTTATTGTAACTATGAACTGCCTATAACTACAGTTGTAAGAACGTGGTTACGTCATATCGCACTAAACAGAAGTGGTAACTTTAAGTCAAAGTTTAACAAATTCTTGTAATAATTTTAATGAAAAACAGTGCAATATTTAAGGAAACTGTGCAATATTATGTGTCTTGATATATTATATCACAATGTTATGTGTCTAATGTCTCCCTGCATGTTCGGTCAGTTATGGCAGACGGGACCTGGGCTCAATGTTCCTTTCTTATATTTGTGAATAAAGGAATATAGAATGATTTTACTACGACATTATTGCTTTGACAGATGCTAAGCTCTTTGGAAAAAAAAACACATTTTTGTACTCAAAAATGATAACAGGAGCGTCCCCACGTCTGGTTGAGTTTTAAGTTCAACGAGTTGGCGTCCCTTCGCTACTATTCCTTCGGCAGTGGGGAGTCTCCTGTAAAGGTCATGGGGCTGTCACTGCTGGACAGGCCGGCCAAGGACTTCATCATCTGCCGGGAAGGGACGGAGATGGTTGACGGGGTCTGTCAACAGAAATGCCACCATGAGTGTGAAGGTACGTCTAGTTGTTTTGTCTTTTCTTTGCGATTTAACCTTGGAAACTTTGTTGTTGTCTAATCATTGACAAGAACAAGAACATCATTAATAATTCATTTAAAGGTAAAACATTTTCAACGCTAAACGGTAAATGTTCTCACCTAGTCCTAGAGCTTGCGACCAGTCAATCTGATCTTAATCCTAAGTATACTGACTCAGTGAGGCTTGTCACGGGTCTTCTCTGAAGGGTGAAGTCAACACTGGGTCCAAGGCATTTGGTAAACGATATCGGCCCACGTCGTGGTTATTATATTCTATCACACTTGTAAAGTGTGATGGTCCCTTACGCAAGTAGCCTCACCCCTCTCAGAAAGTAGTCTTTTCCAGTGTTCAGTATTCCTTACAATGTCCGATGAGTGCTCAGCTGACTCGAGATAAATGTTTTGTGACACTTCTGAACTGGCTGAACTTGGCCGTCAATGGTACTTTGTATTCAAAGACCTCTCGTCCTCCAATGTAGGATTACTAATAGGGTCCTTTGCGGTTCTTGCCTTTGCCGGGGATGTGGTACAGGACACACACTTCTTCTCGTTGGGAGCTTTGTCATTGACTGCAACAAGTACATGTACGTTGTGGTCTTAGAGTTTTAGTTACTTTAAACAGGTTGTAATTCTTTGGGATTAAAAAAATAATTGTGAAGACTTTGGACAAGTTCTTGGTGTGAGGGAGAACGTTCAAACCCTTGGAGGCATGTCCTCCTTACGGTTTCGTGTTTTAGAAAGTATCAGTGGCTTTTTTTAATTAGATGCATTTTTATTGGTTGTTTTGAATGGAATACCCTAACATTTATATCTACACACTCAGGTTGTCGCACAAGTGGATCCGACTCCCCAACTGACTGCATCGCCTGTAAACATATGAAGATGTCCTACCCCTACAGACCGAGAGAGGAGCAGGTTGGCGCTTTCGAATGTGTCGCTGAGTGTCCGCAGCACATGGAGTCTGACACTGCTACAAAATCTTGTACATGTGAGTAATGCGCACACTATAGTATTTCCATAGAAGTTTGATGTATGTTGATACGCAGATGCTGTTATGCAGAACAGGAGCTTGAATGTTGTCTACCCTCGGGGCTGGGATTGCCAAAACCCAAGTACCGGAAAGATCGACCCGTAGCCCCCCTTCCCTGTTGAGGGTGGGGTTGTACATTCTTTCATATTCTTTGCCTCTTTAACACCCCGTTCCCACCAGCGTGTTTCGCGGTCTACATTTAAGCTCCTGTTCTGTATAACAGGAGCTTTCTGACTCATTTGCATTATCTTGTCTTTACTTGTCTGACTTTTGTTCCATTTTCGACTTCCAAAAATTTGTCTTCACTTATTTGCATATCAATCAATAGCTTGTGCTTATAAACCTGCATTTCCCCTGTGGTCTCTCAGTCACTGACGAAAGCTAGTGGATACTAGCTGAAACGTCTGACGTTTTCAAAATCATATCCAGTTGCTTGAGTAACTGCTTTTTGGCGTATCGTATTACCTGGATGTCTAACCTTCATCGACGCAAATATGGATGCATGCATCATAACAAATGTGAAACACTTTTAGTTGATTTAAGCCTTGCGAGACTATGCATTATCGAACAAGATTATATTTCACAGAAAATGACATTTTGATGTCCTTAGATGAATCAATATGACGTTTACGTATTTCTGTGAATCATTGTTAAGTACATGTAAGTGCTTTTAACGAAGGCAGAAAATACTTGTGTGAATATCTGATTTCTCTACATCTCTCCCTCATTCTTTCTCTCTTTGTCTTGCTTTCCAGGCATTAAGAAAATGGAAAAACCCCGTTCCGACGGTACTGTGGACTGTGTGACGGATTGCCCTCTTACCCACTTTGACGATAACAACGTGTGCAAACGTATGTGGATAGTTTGATAACAATAAAGCATAGCTAGCTTAGAGTTCTAAGGTCAAATGTCTCCATGTGGCATTCTCAGTAGTCATCTCATTATTTTTATTGAGATTGTCAACGTTTGGTTGAATGTCCTGACTACAAAAAATCTTAGGTTTAATAGAAACAAAAAAATCATATGTATTTTAAATCAAGAAACATTGATTAATCAAAATTTTAAAATTCAAAGCTCGTCCAAGGTTCTTCTGTATTTCAATATTTCAATACCAACATTGCAGGCATACACAATAGAACTATAAGGTTGCCTGAATGGCATTGGTATTTACATCGTTACATTAAAACAAACACATAACATTATTACATACATACATATATACATGAATGTATACACTACTTGTATGAACAGTGCATTTCAGGTATGACAAGTTTATACAGTCTGATTGTAGAGTCTGATAGACTGATGTAGGAACAAGTTCTGAAGTCTTTACAAATCAACTCAATTGCTAATATCTATTGCGTATGCGGATGTGTTTTTTTCCTACGTTTTCAGAGTGCAGCAGCTTTTGTAAGGACGTTAGTAACAAAGGGAAAAGAATTTGTTCCGGACCTGCTTCAAGAGACTGTGACACCTGCAAGTATCTACATAAGGGACGCTGTGTGAAAGGATGCAGACCTGGACAGAAAGCAGTCAAAGGTTGGTCAGGATTACATACACGAGGACATACTTCTTTAGGCCACACCAATTTAATTTGTTGCTTCTCGGATTTTTTCAGAAAAATATGAAGCTACAGGGCGATCACAACCATTTATATATTTGATCACAACCAAAATAAATGGCTGTGATCAAAGAACTTTGCTGTTCATTCGTGTATCAACCTGATGAAATTATTTACGGAAATATACACTTTTGTTTGGTACAATTCGTTTCCTTTCTTTGTTACAGGGAATGACAATGCCTTTACCTGCCGTCAATGTGAGCCCGGCCATGCGTGTAGGCTGGGGGACGAGCGGGAAGACATCTGTCCAGCGGGAACGTTCAGTAATGACGACCGATCCATGTGCGTGCCGTGTGCGGTTGGCGAGTTCAGCAGCACTCCGGGAGCGACGTCCTGTCAGAAGTGTGCCGCGGGAACGTTCAGCAGTGAACCAGGGTATAGGCGCTGTGTCACCTGCCCTCCCGGAACAAGCAGCTTACCAGGGTCGTCTTCTTGCAAAGGTAAGTTTACATCTAGAATTACTTTCACTGTGATTATTAAATGAACTTTATGGACGTAAATATAGAATTGCTTTTTTAATCACTTCCTGTACATTTTAGCTACATTATGACAGGAATGAAGCCTTGTTTGTATATTATGAAACCAGTGTTACGCTTCTGTATGCTGTTATGAGGTCAACCGTAATTATCACATATGTGAGATGATTAAACAAATACTAGTATGTTGAAAATTGAAGTAAATTACGTACAGTCAAGCGACGATTTAAAAAAAAAAGTCTAATCTATTTTTTGTTTTACTGTTTTTTTATTGATATATTTTTTTGTAATTTCATCGATATATTTTGATTTTTGGTGCATGTATATTTACATAAACATATCACCTTAACTCTCTCACAGAATGTGACCGTGACTGCGCCCACACGTGCACAAGCTTAGAACCGGGGGCAGCGTGTACCTGCCTAAGCGGCTACCAGATGGAAGATGGCGGATACCATTGCAAAGGTAACCTTAAGTTTGTTTTGTACTGCCTAGTCTGTTTATGGCCCTTGTTGTAGCAAAAAAAATTCTTGAAAAAATTACTAGGTTTTGGACGCATTTTCTAAAAGTGTGGAGTCGGTTGCTATGACTACGATAAAAAA